TCGCCGACCTCTCCACTCGACGACTGCCGATGGTCTATACCCCCTCTCCCCCCGCGCAAGGGCACTCCCAAACGCGCGCATGCCCGAGGGCCTTTCCCCCCTGAGGGATTAATTTACGAACCATGGCCGCCATCGGCCGAGGGGATTGGAACGCCGGGCGGGGGGGACGCGGCACGCACACAGGGCCGATGGCCTGTCCCTGCCCCTCGGCCGAGGCCGCTGGTCTTCACACCTGCGCGGCCCGGGCCGAGGATGCTCCCGGCTTATAGCGTGCCCTCGGCCGCGCAAGTCCGGCCGGGGGGCCCCGGGCAGCGAACTGGACGCCGTCTGGCGGCCGCCCCGCCCCCTGGGGTGACATCCGCGCTCCGGAAATTGGTCGGGACCTGCTGATGGACCCCGCGAACGAGGGCGAGAGAACCAACACAGGGGGGAAACGAGAATGGGCAAGCAGGCGGGCGGCCGCGGCAAAATATGGCGGTCTGGAGGGGGCCCGCCCTGCGCGGAATGAGGCTTTACCTCTCGGGCCCATCCCGCTCTCTGCCCCCCCTGGCCGAACCCAATTCCTCACTCCCGCCTCGCGGACCCAGTGTCGGGCCCGGGGGGGGGGGGGGACGGGCAAGACCGGGGCGGCCGCACAGCCCCGCATACCTTCTCATTCCCCATTCCACACTGTCCCGTTGGCAGGCCCCTGGAATCCGACGAGACGTAAATCGAATACCCGAAAAGCAATTATCGCTCCGAGATGCCGGCGCAGGGGCTGCATTTTCGCCTCGCGCGCAACTAGATCGACGGCACTCCACAGAGTCCCCCCCGCCGCCGGAGGCCGACCCAGGGGGTGGGGGGGGGGGAGAGCCTTGGGAGGAGTGATGGGCTGGCTTTGCTGCCGGCCCAGCCCCTCCCCGGTTATGGGGCGGCGATGTATCGGCATGTGTTGTTGTGTGTATGTGTTGTGTATATGGTACAGGGTGAAAAAGGGTACAAGGAAGAGCCGTTGAGGCCGGGGGGGGGGGGTATGCGCTCGCGCACCAGGCGGGGGCAGCACAGGGTGGGGTGGGGGCCAGCAGCTGTCTCGGAGGAAGCCGCGCGGGGGATCGCACAGAATGTCGTGCGCACCCCCCGCCGAAGGCGAGCTCTATCGGACAGCGTGTGCTGAGGGGGGGGGGGAGAGAGAGAGAGAGAGAGAGAGAGATGGAGATGGTGTGGAGGGAAGCAACCAGGGTGTGTGGAGGGGGGGGGGAGAGAGAGAGAGAGAGAGGAGGGAGGAGAAGGGGGCCGAAAGCCGGTCGATACGTCAACGCATCGCATTTTTTTTCCGCGCGCGTATGCGCGTGAAGCAGCCCATGGCAGGATAGAATGGTAGATGGGTTTGGTGCGCAGGAGCACACGGGCGCGCGTGGCGATATCTTGGGACTCGACGATGTTGCTGCTCACCGGAAAGGTGGCTTGTCTCTCGGCCTCTCTCGCTCTCGATCTCGCTCTCGGCAGCAGGCCCACGACAGCCCCATTCTTCATGCTTTAGCCTTACACGCGCTCACACGCGGGGCTTTGCGCGAGTGAGTGTGTGAAAAGGGGAAGGAGATGGGGGCGCAGCAGTAGTCCCGTAGCCGAGATGTCTGAACTGGGGGAGGGGGCAGCGAGAAGAGAGGGAATACGACCCCCGACGACAAAGGAGCAAGGACATAATCGCCAGGATGCGATTTTGGGGCATTCACTCGTCACCGCCGTCGGAGTCGGTCGGCGCGGCGGCCACAGCCTCGGCCGTGCTGTCACCAAAGCCACCATGGTGGCCGGCATCATCATCGAAGCCGCCATGGTAGAAGCCAGCGCCATCGACGTCATCATCAGCACCACCGAGGGCCCCGACGAGGCCGACATCATCGTCGACCGGGTGACCGCCAAAGTCCCCGAACACGGCGCCGGCCTCCTCATCGTCACCGATGCCACCATGGTGAGGGTGGAAAGACTGCCCGTCGACGCCGGCAGCAACAGCAGCAGCATCATCGGCATCCTCGTCGGCATCCTCATCGGTGACCGCCTCGTTGTGCTGAAGAAGCTGCGCGTCATCATCGGCCGCATTGTCTTCCTCCTCCTCCTCCTCCTCCTCGAGGTCCTCCTCGGCGTCCAGCTCCTCGAGCTCTTCGTCCTCCTCGCCGCCACTGTAAAGGGGCTCGTCGCCGGCGGCGGCGGCGGTGGCTGGGGCAGCCTCAGCGGAGTGGCGATGGCGGTGGGAGGCATCGTGGGAGTGCTCGGCGTCGGCGCCATCCTCCTCCTCTTCCTCCTCGTAGTACTCGTCATCGTCGCCGGTAGCGGCGCCGGCGGCACCGTCCTCATCGAGGAGCTCCGCATCGTCGCCATCGTCCTCGACTTGGTCGTCATCAAGGTCCTGGTCCTCGTCAAGGTCCTGGTCCTCGTCAAGGTCCTGGTCCTCTTCCTCCTCGGCCATGGCATCATCGTCGTCATCCTCTTCCTCCTCGGCCACGGCGTCGTCGTCGTCCTCCTCCTCCTCCTCCTCTTCGGCATTCTCAAGGTGGTGGTGGCGGTGACGATGATGCGAGTGATGACTGGCGGCCTCGTCGGCCTCCTCCTCATCGAGGTCCTCCTCATCGAGGTCCTCGTCCAGGAGCTCGGCATCCTCGTCGCCATCCTCCTCGCCATTGTCGTCCTGCTCGAGGGCGTCATCATCGTCCTCCTCGCCGGCGCCTTCGCCATCGACGTCGTCCTCCTCCTCGCCATCGTCATCGTCATCCACATACATGTGGTCGCCGTCGCCGTCGCCGTGGTGGTGGTGGTGGTGGTGGCCGTGAGGGTAGTGGCCATCGCCAGGCATGGTGGCATACTCATCGAGGCCATCGTCCTCCTCCTCCTCATCATCCTCCTCATCGCCTTCCTCTTCCTCCTCCTCGACTTCGTCCATCTCGAGGATGTCCTCCGGGAAGTCCAGAAGATCCACCTGGGGGATGTCCCCGACGAAGTACTTGTGTGCGCTGGGGAAGAGGTACTTGCCGAAGATCTTGAGCAGCCATTCGGAGGACTCGCGATCGTTCTTGGCGAAGATGTGGAAGAAGCCATCGGCGGTGTCGTCCTCCGGGGCACGGCGCTTCTGGCCGACCACGGCGGAGGCCGACTCGGCGGCCGCCTCGTCCGTCTGCTGGTCCTTGAAGTGAATGACCGAGGTGCTGATGGCCGGAACCTCGTCATCGTCCTCGGGATTGCTGTAGGACAGCTCCTTGACGAGCTCGGTGTTCTCGAAGAGCGGGTTGGGGCCGAAAGTCTGTCAAGGAGCAAGGGTGAGTGAGTCGGCGAGGGGGGGG